TCTTAACTACGCAATTAAACTTTTTTTAATTTACATTTTTATTTTAATTTAAATTTATATAAATTTTTATTTTTATTTTGTTTTTATTTTAATATAATTTGTTAATAAAACTTCTCTGAGTTGAACTTTTTTTATTTTTTTTTTTGTTAGTGTATAATATTATTTTATATTTATATGATTATATTTTTTTATTGTTATACTATTATTTTTTATTATATTATTTATTTTTTTTATTTTTTTTTATTTTTATATTTTATTAATTTCTTTAATTTAATTCACTTCATCTTTATTTAATTTAATTAAATTTTTTTGCTGGGAGGGCACATATCGTCTTCTTCGATTTGTTATTTTATTTTATTTTATTTTTGTTTTATTTTATTTTTGTTTTTATTTTATTTTATTTTATTTTATTTTATTTTATTTTATTTTATTTTATTTCCTTTTTATTTTTATTTTATCTTATTTTATTTTCGTTTTTGTTTTATTTTATTTTATTTTATTTTATTTTATTTTTGTTTTTATTTTATTTTATCTTATTTTGTTTTATTTTATTTTATTTTATTTTTTATTTTATTTTATTTCTTTTTATTTTATTTATTTTATTTTTTATTTTATTTGTTTTATTGTTTCTCTAAACAACTCATACACGGGCGCCCTTCGCCTCAGTGTATGCAAACAAATGCAGCAAACCCTAAACCCTAAACCCTAAACCCTAAACCCTCAAAAAAATAAAAATATTTTGAGTTGAAGGTAGCCACAGATTTTGTTTCCCTTGCTGCAGCAGTTTGCTGTCGATACACCGCAAGGTGTATACATATTTATAAATAAACAAATAAACAAATAAATAATAAATAATAATAAATAAACAAATAAACAAATTAAATAAATAAAATAAATAAATAAAATAAATAAATACACGAAGGTTTAGGGGCCCACAGATTTGTGTACATATATTTACACAAGAAACTAAAACAAACAAAAAACAACAAAAACCCTAAACCCTAAACCCTAAACCCTAAACCCTAAACCCCTATTCTAGGGTTTGAGGATGAGGGTTTAGAGCCACCAAAGTTCACTGTGTGTGGCTACAGTCTTGCAGCAGGACTCTGCCGCAGCTGTAAACCCTAAACCCTAAACCCTAAACCCTTATTTAGGGTTTAGGGTTTAGGGTTTACAGCTCTCCAGTGAGAAGGGGGGGCCTTCACTGCAGCAGCAGCAGAGCTGTCTATACACCGCAGAGGCTGAGCAGCAGCAGCTACTTCTTCTGTTTCAACACAACGCCCTCCCCCCACAGCAACCTGCTGCTGCTGCTGCTGCTGCTGCCGCTGCTGCTGCTGCTGCTGCTTGTCTTGTTGCTGTTGTTGTTGCTGTTGCTGCAGTTGGCATGCAAGCTGAGCATACACTGCTTGCTGCTGCAGCACTTCGCGCTGCTGCAGCAGCTCCTGCCGCTGCAGCAGCAGCTCCTGCTGCTGCTGCTGTAGATCCTGCCGCTGCTGCAGCAGCAAGACAACAACCAGCAGCTGCAGCAGCAGCAGCAGCAGCAGCAGGCTTTGCTGCTGCGAATGACAAACAAATCGTTTTGCTGCTGTAAGCAATCGATGCA